CCTGTCATTCACAGTCACCTCATTCCTCCAGTCCAGTCTTTCCCATAGTGGGTGATAACACACCCCTGGAGCGGCTGGAACCATCCAGGGGGTGGGAGTCCCCGTGGGTGGCACTTTCTGTTTGTTCTCCTAAAGAAGATCTGTAGTTTGGAGGGTAGGGGGAGGGGAGTGAGGAATCTTTTTCTGAAAGGGAGAGGGCAGTCAAAGCCAAAATCATTTGGGACCTCGCTCCCATTTATTGAGTCCCCATTCAAACAAATGGGGCCAGTGAGGGGATATCACAAAGGTTGGGAGGACCCTAGTTTCTTCCATCAAGGAGACTCCAGGGCCCCGGACAGGACCATGTTGCTTTGCCCTCTGGCCCTGTTCCAGTTCATCTGCTCAGTTGTTCGGGTTTGAGGAGGCCACACCTGGAGGTGCTGGGGGCTGGGGTTAAGCAGTATGCACCCTAGTCCATTGAGCCAACTCCCCACCCACTCACAGTCATTTTTAACTCACTCAAGCCCTTGAGGCTCAGAGAGGCTTCGTCATGGTGAGAATCAGCAGGAGGTGGGCAAGGATTGCCCCACAGCGGGAGGTGGGCAGGGTGTGCCCCGCAGCAGAGGTGGGCAGGGCTTGTCCCCACAGCAACTTGGCCAGCGCTCTGTTCCTCCAGTCCCAGCTTCATACCCCCTGGGTCCCCCTCTGCCATCCTCCTCACTGGGTCTCCCTCCTTGTTTTGTCTCAATTCCCCTCCTACGCTCCCCCACAGCTTGGGGAATAAGCTTCATAAACACATCTGAGGGATAGAGAGGCAGCACAGCAGGTAAGGCACTGCCTTGCAAGCAGAAGAACCCGGGTTCAATCCCCGGCACCCCACATGGTTCCCCCAATCCCAGGAATGATCTCTGAGAGCAGAACAAAGAGTGAGCCCTGAGCACAGTCAGGCATGCCCCCCCACAAACACACAAACACACACACACACACACACACACACACACACACACAAAAAGTAAATCAACAAACCTGAATGACACGGTCAAGGAATGAATGAGGAGTGAGTGCATGAATGAGGAATGAGTGAATTAATGTGTGAACAAATGATTCTCACTAGTCCTGGCCAATGGCCTTCACTATTCTCTCCCTCTTCTCTATCTCTCTCTCTCTCTTCCTCTCTCCTTTCTGTCTCTCTCTGTATGTCTCTCCGTCTTTCCCTGTCTCTCTGTCTCTCTCCCTGTCTCTCTACCTGTCTCTCTCTGTGTGTCTCTCTGTCTCTCTGTGTGTGTTCTCTGTCTCTGTCTATTTCTCTATCGCTCTCAGTCTCTCTGTCTTTCTCCCTGTCTCTCTCCCTGTCTCTCTGTGTGTCTCTCTGTCTCTCTCTGTGAGTCCTCTGTGTGTCTCTCTGTCTCCCCCCCCCCACCCTTTCTCCCATGCTGAGCCTCCACCCCACATTCACCAGAGCACCTCAGAAGAACTCTACTTCTCTCACAGCCCCAGCCCGACATGCCGGGACCTTCTTGAAGCTGGTGTCTGTTCTGTATGTGCCCTGAAGTCCTGGCATCCCCCGTCACCTCAGGGCACCTTGGAGTTCCAGGAGAGAGACTAGGCCCCGGACTCCAGGTTCCTGAGTCTACAGCCTGCAGGACTGGTGGCCACGAGAAAGTAACAGGTCACCTGTGGCCTCATGGAAGAGCCGCTCCCCAGAGCAGGCGCTGGAAGGGTAGTCTGTAGTTCCCTGGACACTCCTCGGGCCCTTTCACAAGAAAAAGAGCTCTCCAAGCTATAAGGAACCCCAAATTCTGAATTTCAAGGTGGGCACCATCCCCTCAAACAAAAAACTCAGGATTGGCTAGGAAGGAAACGTGCTGCTCTTGTCGGGCTCGGCCCTGCAGAGAGGGGCGAAAAGCCAGAGTAAGCAGGCCGGAGAAGTAGCGCCCAGCATCCTGGCTGGCCGGGCCCAGGCCCTAGAGCAGGGCTCCTCCCGGCCTCAGCCTGGCTCCAACTCTCTCTAGGGAGGGCAGGGCAGGGAGCAGGGCGCCTCCCAGATTGCTTTGGGAGGGAAGTAGAGCCAGAACCCTGGGCCGCAGTTCTCTCTGTGTCCACTAGACTGTGCTATGGAGTCACTTTCCTGGTTCCTGTCTGTGATGTGGGGTGGGACTGGAGATGGGGAGGCAGACTTGGTCTTAGTGGGGTGTCCGTGGGAAGCAAGGGATGTCAGCTACATCCCAGTCAATGCTGGCCCTGTCTTTGCCAGTGGAGCAAGGGGCCTGGGGAGAGATCCCTAGGGTCAGTGACCTCTATGTGGGACACTGGGATGGCTGCTCTGGGGGCCCTTATCATCTGGGGTCCCCGGTACCCAGGTTGGGCCCACCTGGAAGCCAGCTGCCTCCCCCTTGCACCTCTGAGCCCACTAGCCACCAGGTGGACTCTGGCCACTACCCAGGCATCCACTGTAGCACTGTCGCACTGTCCTCCCATTCACTGATTTGCTCGAGCGGACCCAGTAATGTCTCCATTGTGAGACTTGTTGCTACTATGTTTGGCATATCAAATACGTCATGGGTAGCTTGCCAGGCTTTGCTGTGCAGGCGAGATACTCTCGGTAGCTTGCTGGGCTCTCCGAGAGGGGCAGAGGAACTGAACTCGGGTCAGCCAGGTCAGCCGTGTGCAAGGCAAACGCACTACCCCGCATCCAAGTCTAAGAAATTCAGTTGCCTGTACTCCTCCCTCTGGTGTGAGACTAGAATCTGGTGCCCTGTCAGACTCGGGGCAGTCTGGGGATTTGTGTGCCCAGCTGAGACTTCCGGCTTGGGGCCTTCCTGGAACTACTAATGTGCTCTGTTCCTCATTCAGATTCCTGGTTCCAAGCACAGGGTTAGCCATCCCTAGGGGTATCATGCAGGCCTACTCCCAGATCCCGGCACAGCGCCACAAATTCTCCCTTCCCAGTCTCTGAGAAGGCTCCTCCCAATGCCCCTCCTCTCTGCCTGGCCCCTGATCCACTTCCTCCATGGCCTCCTCCCCCAAGATCAGCCCAGTTCGACTCCTCTTATTGCCAATCCCAGTGCAGAGACAGTAGTAAGGGGACTTGGGGACATGACGCTCACCTCCATTCCCTGGGGTTGAGACCAGGCCACGAGGAATCCACGTCATTTCATTCCTTTTCCTAATAACTCACCCTCTTCCTTGCCCATTGATGAAACCCTGGGTGTATGCCAGCCACGGTGCTAAACCCGGTGCCTATATGAGATCACCCACTCCTCCCTCTGCCTGCTGGAGTCAGCATTTCTGTTCTCCACTTAAGGAACGGAGATTTTGCCCACACTGTTATGGCCCATCCATCCACATAGGAATGGGGGGTCCCATGTCTGGTCCTCAGTCCAGGCTTTCTGCCCCTTTACCCTCAAGACTAAGCCTTTCACTAACTCCAGTCCCACCCTCTGTGCCCTTCATTCATGCTCCAAATGAGTGAGCTGTTGAAACTGATACCATGACTAGTCGGCTAGTGGAAGCTTTCCCAGCCCTGGGCAGTCAGCCCCACCCGCTTCTGGAATCTTCACTACTCATGCAGATGAGGTCGTCCCCTTCCTTCTTCCTTAGCAACCCCCACAACCAAGACAACAAAGGCAGTCCCCCTCCAAGAAAGTGTGCTCCAACCCTGCTCTGCACGTGCATTCATTCATTGGCTTCCCGTGGCCCCCAAAGCAGAACTTGCTGTGCTTACTAAGTGGCACATTGACCGTGGGACTCCACGGTCAGCCAACCAGATCATCATATGGATCAAAGCCAATTGGAAGCAGTCTGCTCTCAAAACCTCTACACATAGCCTTCACAAAAATTCCAGCCAGAAAGTTAGTACAGGACTTAGGATACAAGTGCCTGACCCTGTTTCTAAGTCATGCATAGCATGCTGAGCACTGACTGATATAGTCCTGGATGCCCCCAATCAACTCAAGGTGGGCCCCTGTGCCCCCTTCAACACTACGGGACCTGAGCAACACCAACACCTTGGGCATCCTGAGTAGACTCCAGGTTCCCTGAGACACTACTTGGGAGATTACCCTCTTGCCACACACACACACACACACACACACACACACACACACACAAGCTCCCTTCTCAGAGATCCACTATGCTTGAGACATAGCCTCCCCACACCCCAAGCCTGCCCTGCTCCAGGCACTCAGGCACTGTGCTTCTAGCCTTTTCTTCTAAAGAATCCTCACAATAAACCTGCATAGTAGGGACTGTCATCATGCCTACTTTACAGAGGTAGAAAAAAGCCAGGCTTGGAAATGACGGTTTGCTTGCTCACCCTCTCCTAACAGCAAGCCAGCTCTGGAGGCAAGAGCAGATGGGCTGCAGTCACCTGATGGTCTCTATCCACTGGCTGGTCTACACCCCCACTGGATGCAGGTGCTCAAGGAGACCCATGGTTTGTACACAGCTGTGAGCATGTACTTCTGGAAGTGGGGGGAAGGAAGCTCTGTACCCCCAGCATCACTGCCTCCAGGGAATGAATCCCTGATGAACAAAGCATTAAGAATCCCTAAACTCAGTAGTAACGAGTTGCATGAATGAGCCAGCAAAAGAACAAATAAGGGACAGGAGGAGTGAGCTAGTGAGCAAGCAAGCACGTGCCTCCATGCCCGAGGACACGTGATGACCCAGCACACAGACCTTTTGGTGTCTTTGAGATGGTGAAAGTTATCCTGGGACCTGAGCCCGGGCCTCCCCCAGGCCCTTTTCCCCAGTCCCAGAGGCCCAGCCAGGTGTTCAGACAAGTTCCAGAATCTGCTCCCCCACTCTCCCACCTCCTCTTCTGACAATGACCAGGCAGAGGCGGGCGTTGTGCAATGGAGATAATAAACTTTATTGACTGCCAGGAGGGAGGGGGCAAGGGCTCAGCAATAAAATGCTTGGGGCATGAGGTACTGGTGGGGGGAGGGGGGCAGGAGAGGATATCTCCATAGAGATCCTTGCCCACAAGGAGGGCGGAGGGGGGGGGTGGTCTCCTGGGTCTGAGCACTACTGGGCAGCCTCAGTTCTTGGTGCGAAGGACTTGCTCATGGCTGGACACCACCTTGCCATCATGCACGTCCATGACCTTCGTGCGGATCTGGCGGCTGGAAGAGGTCACTGGGGAAGAGGAAAGAGGGTGTTAGCAGCAGTGGTTGGGCAAGAAGAGACCAGAAGTGGGGAGCTAAAGGGCTTGGGGCACTTAGAACTGCCATAATCTAAGTAATGATCTCTGCAGCCAGAACTAAGCCCATCCCATAGACAGGTTTCCTTCAAAGTAGGTGCTCCATGTTGGGGACATTGTATGTCCCGGAGTTGAAGATTTTGAGTGGACCCAAGCTGTGGGGTCATAATGATAGAGCCGAAAGGGGCTCTGTCCATGGTGCTGACCTTAGAACCATGGGGTCTGCTGAGGACAGACAAGCTAGAGGGGGAAGCCACCAAATCTTTAGAAAGTTCCTTCCAGGAATGAGTTATGTGGAAGGTCCTAGTTCTCCTCCCTTCCCAAGAAGTTCTGGTGCAACTCAAGACTTTCGGGGAGATAAGATGGTCTAAAGACCAGGGTGGAGGAAGAGGCTCTTACCATCTCTGGATGACTGGGAGCCAGAGGAGAACTGAGCAGAGGAGAGGCTGTGAAGACAGAAAAGACAAGATCATTCGATCGTTAGCTCATGGGTGGAGGTGGTTAGTGAATGAATCATGGTGATGGATGGGCATGGCAGCCCCCACTCACTGGGCATCCTCGCCCTCCAGCAAGCGGCGGTAGGTGGCGATCTCCTGCTCCAGCCGTGACTTCACGTCCATCAGGATCTTGTACTCCTGGTTCTGCTGCTCCATCTCACAGCGCAGCTGGGCCAACTGCTCTTCCACATTGCCGATCAGGTCCTGGATCTGGGACAGCTGCATGCAGTAGCGGCCCTTGGTCTCCTCCAGGCTGTTCTCCAGGGAGGCTTTCTGTGAGGGAGGAAAAGAAGATTACAGGTCAGCGTGACTGGTTCATCCCTCCCCCTCCCTGTCCTGGGCATGCCCACAGCGTGGCAGTGCTCCTCACCATGCTGAGCTGGGACTGCAGCTCGATCTCCAGGTTCTGCACGGTGCGCCGGAGCTCGGAGATCTCGCTCTTGCCACTCTGCACCAGCTCACTGTTGGTGGTCACCTCGCGGTTCAGCTCCTCAGTCTGCAGCAGGAAGACTCATTCAGGCGAGGCCAATCCTGGCAAGCGGCTCTCCCAGGACCCTTCTGACCTGGGCAACACCCACCTTGCTGAAGAACCAGTCCTCGGCATCCTTGCGGTTCTTCTCAGCCATCTTCTCATACTGCTCACGCATCTCGTTGAGGATGCGGCTCAGGTCCACGCCGGGAGCAGCGTCCATCTCCACATTGACATCTCCGCCCACCTGGCCTCTCAGAGAGCTCATCTCCTGGACAGTGAAGGACAACCACTGTGAGAGGCCTTGTTCTGGCAGCCCACAAGGGGCCCTTCAGAAACGTGCTTCGAGCTGGACATAGCCCCTCCGCTGTCCCGCTGCCTCCTGTTCCCTCCCAGCTTAACTTCTAAACTGGCATTTGCCCATGCATCTCACCTCCTCATGGTTCTTGCGCAGGTAGGCCAGCTCCTCCTTCAGGCTCTCGATCTGCATCTCCAGGTCGGCCCTGGCCAGGGTCAGCTCATCCAGCACCCGGCGCAGGCCGTTGGTGTCAGCCTCCACGCTCATGCGCAGGTTCAGCTCTGTCTCATACCTGGAATGATCCGCGAGAAAAAGCGTGAGATGCCCATTCTGGCCACACTACAGGCTTTGTTCTCTTCCCCTGCAGCTTCTTCCCATGGCTGGCAGCTTGTGGGCGGTGTGGGAGCCAAGCATGAGCTCGGTAAGGTCGGACACAGTGCCCATTGAGTGCTCAGACCTGAAAACTCCTGGGGGGGAGGGCAGGCACTCGGCACCTCATCCTGAAGCAGTATCAGGGGAGGGGAGAAGCTTTAGCTTGGGCCAGCCAATAGCACACAAGGCTTCCAACTATGGCTCCTTCATAGCGGGGCGTGGCAGAGCACCTGTCCCTGAAGCCATGTTTCCCAGACCTGGCTGTGTGACAGAACCACCCAGAAGCCCATGCAAAATGATTGAATCACAATGCTGGGGTGGATCCTGGGACTCCGGCATTTTTACAAGCACCCCGAGGGGCTTGCACACTGCCAGCTTGGCACTCTAAAAGTGCCCCACCTTAGGCCCTGGAATGATAGCACAATTTGCCTTGCACACGGTTGAGCTGGGATTCGATTCCCTGGCATCCCATATGTTCCCCCGAGCACTAGCAGGAGTAATTTCTGAGTGTAGAGCCAGGAGTAACCCCTGAGCAACACCAGGTGCAGCCCAGAAACAAACAAAAAATTTTTTTAATTTGAAAAATCAAAGTGCCCCTCCCCCGGGAGGGAGCCCCTGGAGTGCCCCACCCCAAGGAGGCAAGCTGCATGGCCGTCGCCCCAGACTCACTTGGTGCGGAAGTCGTCAGCTGCAAGGCGGGCATTGTCAATCTGCAGCAGGACATTGGCATTGTCCACAGTGGCCGTGAGGATCTACAGGTGGGGAGAACACGGACGCAGGTCAAACAGATGGCAGCAGCCAGTCTTCCCTATAGCCAGCACCAGGCATTTGCCATCCGGCTCTTGCCAGAGTGACCCGTGGGGCTTGTCTTGGCCCAGCAAGGTCCCCTCCCACCAGCCACAACTGTCAGAGAGTCACTCGCGAGGTCCAGCTTTGACCCAGGACAGTTGGCTGCTGCTCAGCAGAGAAGGAGCAAAGAGCCCCGGCCTCAGAGTCAAAAGCCTTCACATCCAGTTCCTGTTCTACCCCCAGTCTTGCCACAAAGCCTGAGTGAGCTCTCGGGTTCTTGGGTTCACCACCTGCTAAACAGAGGAGAGATCTAAAGCTCTCCAGATGCCCTCCCTGACCTACTCTCTCTGCATGAGCCAGTCCTGCTGACCTCTGTGTGCTCTAGTACCACCCCCTCCCAAGCTCATAGGACAAGAGACCCCCCCCCCAGTGGGATTTTGCAGCCAGCGCTGTGAAAAACAACAGATCTGAAAAGATCTGTCCAGAAAACCCTGCGCTGACGGGAGTTCCTGCCTTTGTCGCCTAATCACCCTAATCCTCACCAGGCAGCCCAGCCAAACAGCCCAGCCAGACAGCCAGCGCTGCCAGGGGCACCAGCCCACCAGGCTTCCTCCTGGGTAGGGCACCCAAGGTAGACCCCCACCCACCACCAGCTAAGGGGAGGAACCAACTCATGCCCCTAGGGCTCCTGGGCGTAGGCTGCCAGGCAGCTCAGGTGAATAAGCTAATAAGCGGTTTGGGCGTCAGCCTGGTCCCGTTAGCGCTGCCCCTCCCTCCCCGGCACCCAGGACAGGTAGCTGCGTCCTGTGGGATTGAAGGGCTGGCTCCTTCATGCATGGCCCAGAGCAGGGCACAGCCCCTCTGGAAGCTTCCACATCCACCTCTGTAAATTACCAGGTAGGTAATTTACACTGAACTTAGGGATCTGAGGAGATGAGTGAGCCCAGGAGCCCAGGAGTGTCTGAGCTGAGCTTGAGAGGGGAGGTAACTCCCCACTGGCCAGATCTACTGGGGTGTCCAGAGCCAGAAGAAGAGGTCTAGGGTCAGAGACTGGGATCTAAACACGCCTGGGGTTGGCAATGCCCACTGCACCCCCTGCCAGGTCCCAGCCCCCACCTTGCTGCGCAGCTCCTCGATGGTCCGGAAGTAGGGGCTGTAGTCCTTGCTCTCCTGCGGACGCTGCTTCTGGTACCAGTCGCGGATCTTCACCTCCAGGTCGGTGTTGGCCTCCTCCAGGGCGCGCACCTTGTCCAGGTAGGAGGCCAGGCGGTCGTTGAGGTTCTGCATGGTCACCTTCTCATTCCCGGAGAGGAGGCCATCGCCACCACCCAGGCCCCCACCGAAGCCCCCGCCGAAGCCACCACCGAAACCTCCACCCAAACCTCCACCGAATCCTGCACCCAGGCCCCCACCAAAGCTGCTGCTGCTGCTGAAGCCGCCGCCATAGCCGCCCCCCATGCCACAGGCCCCCCCGGAGGAGAAGCGGGAGGAGGACATGGACATGCCCCCGTAGGCGCTGGGTGCCCGGCAGGAGCCCCCGGCCAGCACAGACGACATGCGGCTGGAGCCTCCGCCGATACCACAGGAGCCCTTCATGGAGCTGGAGGAGAACTGGCGACTGCAGGAAGTCATGGTGCCGAGAGCGAGTGAGCGAGCGAGCGGAGAGCGAGCAGAGAGCGAGAGAACGAGGTATGATCGTGCTCAGGTGAGCGGAGGAGGCTGTGGTGCTTTAAAGCCCAGGGAGGGGGCCGGGCCTGGCCTCCTCCGGCCCCCTTGGCTTTCATCAGCCACAGGCAGCGCCAACTCCCATCCAGGCCCCTCCTCGCCTTCGCCTCGTCATGTCTGTCATATTTTACTGGAAACTCATTGTTTGGGGTGTTTGGGCTTTCTAGTCCCGCCAGGCGTGATTCACTCAGGAGGAGTGGGCCTGCGGCTACACTTTCCCAGGGGCCCCCAAGCCCGGGTGCTGGCGGCACCAGGTGGCAGGGAGCAGGGCCTATCGGCACCCCAAACCTAGTGACCCACTCACATCCTATTAGCTAACCAGGCCTCTGGCGTCAGCCCCTGTGGCCCCAGGTGGCACCTGGCTCCAGGCACGCATGCAGGAGCCAGGGGATGCGTCCTCAGCTTTGCCACACCCAGGGGACATAGTGGGCTCCGTACCCTGCCCGTGTGATGGGGAGCCAGAGTCAGGAGGCTGCCCCTGCTCGGAGACTGTCCCGCCAGACCCACATTCTGGCTTCCCGGAAACTTCCTTTGGAAAGAAGCCTTGGATTCAGAATCCCTCCCCAGGCCTGCGCTACCTATACGGCTAGCCCACACCCCGCTGTGTCCAGCTCTGCCTTTGTCACCTGTGTGACACAGGACGGATGTTTGTCTACACCTTTTTTTTTTTCATCTGTAAAAGTGGGAGCAAAAGCTGACCGCAGCCTGCCCAGAACTCCCTGTGGCTGAGCACCTGAGTGGGTATGGCCTAAGTCTGGGTCCAATTACCAGAACCCAGGCAGCACCCCTGGGCAGGTGGTGCTGAACCCCAAAGCAGGCTGAAAGGGTCTTCGTGGAAGCGGTCCTCTGCAGACCTGGCTCAAGAGGAGTATTGGGGGGTTAGGGAAAGGGGAGAGGGGCTGACACGGGGCGGGGGGTGGGGTCCCAGCAATTCCCAAGGGGTCCTAACTCCTGAGCTCTCGGGGTCCCAGCAATCCGTTTGCTTCTGGTTTGGGAGTTTCACTCAAGACCTCAGTTACCCTCCAAAGTCTCCTCCAAAGACACCCCCCTGTGGCCCCATCCCCTCCTGCCAGCCCCTCAGCTCTGAGGACCCCGCGGGCAGGTCGGGAGGAATGTGGTCTTGTCTGGGGCTGCCTGACACGTCCCATCTCCCCAGACAGGCCCCAACAGCCCCGCTGGCTGCTGCGGCTCTTCCTAGAACCAGCTGCTCATGGAAGGAAAGGGGAGCCGCCCTCCCAGCCCCTCCCACCCACCAGCCCCGGGGAAGAGGCAGGCTGGGGACCACATGCCCCCCAGCCCAGGTTTAGGAGCTTGGAAGACAATGCTGAGACTAGCTGTAGGCTTTCGGGAGGGTGAAGTGCGCCCCGCTGAGCCCACAAAGATGTGAGTAAGCGAGGCCCCACCCTTACCCACAGACTTCCCTAATCTCCAACTGGGGGGCAGCCCACCACCGGCCCGCCCTGCAATTTCGCTATGAAAGGCAGGGAGTGGGGAGGGCCTGAGGCTGTTGGTGGTGGCAGTCTGTTGCGGGGTGTGTGTGTGTGTGCACGTATTGCATGCAGGGGAGTTGGGGGGAGGGGGTACTCAGCATAGAAAAATGCAGCACCCAGAGGGATCAGGGGTGCAGAGCCCAACACCTGCCTGGCTCTGGGGCCACCACCTTATTTCCCTCCACTGCAGGGATCTCCAGGAGGGTGGTAGTGGGCATGAGACCCAGGACAAGCTCTCCTTTTACAGGGCAAGGACAAAAAGGAACCTTCTCTTTCCCTCCCAGGGGAGCCCCCAAAGAGAGAGACTGGACAGCAGGGAACCCCACTCAATAAACTCACATACAGCCCAGAGGGAGCCAGCCCTGCCTACCCCTCATGGTCCCAGGACTCCAACAAGGAACTCGGGGCTGTTCTTCTCCCCCACCAGATAAGCAGCCCGACTCTGACCCCGGGCTCTGCCTATACCCCCACCCCCAGGCCTTCAGAGATGCCGGTGGCCTGGCCTGAGGCTCTTGATGCTGAGGAAAGGCAGCTGTCTGGTGCAGCAGGGGATCATGAAAGGATGCCGGTGTCTGGTGGGTAGGAGGGCCCCTAGCTCTTGACCAACCCCCAGCAATCTGTGTGTGTGTGGGGGGGGGGGACTTTATCTGGACTGGGCCCAGGACTGGGATGGGGGAGCTGGGAAGTGAATCTCCTCAACCAGCCAGACCCAGGTCAACCCTAAGAAAGGGGTGCAGCACCTGGCTGGATACCTGAGGGAGCAATCCTTAAGAGGAGCCCTTGGGATAGTCCAGTCCGAGGAAGGAGGCACAGCTCCAATCCTCAGTCCAGTCTAATGGCGGGGTCTGCAAGGGAAGAAACAGTCATTCAATAGCACTGCTGGGGGAGGAGGTGGAAGGAGGATGCCCCAAGGACTGGAGCGTATTTATATGAGGAAGCCCCAATACTATCACCCAGACTTCCCTGAATCTTTTTCTGGGGTTTCTGTAACAAAGAACCAGGACAGTTGTTCCCTTGCAGAATGGAGGCTCCAAGGAGTCCAGAAGTCAGGGACTCAGTAACTACACTCCCCCGAAGGGGCTGGGGGACACTTCCTTGCCTCTTGCAACTTCTGCTGGTTCCTGGCATCCCTGTACCCTTGGCCCAGGGTATCCTTCTCCCTCTCCTGGAAGATCTCTCCATGGCCCCTGCATCCCTGAGGGCTCCCCTCACCTCCTACCACAGCCATATCTGCGAGGCCCTATTACCAAAGAAAGCCACAACCAGAGGTTTGAGTGGTGGGTGGCAGGATGGGAAGGGGGTCACAGTTCTGTGCTCTCAACTGCAGAGGCGGCCACGGTGAAAAGTGAGCACAGAGATGGTTGCAATAAGACTGGGTGTGGCCAGCTCCTGGGTCAGCTTTCCACTCAACCTATCCTTTGGGGATGATTCAGTTCATTCTTCCCACAGCCTGGCTTCTTGGGCTCCTTCTCAAATCCATAGTGGCTTTGGGAGGAAAAAAAAAAAAAAATATATATATATATATATATTTGGAAACAGTTTTACTTTCAGGAAAAGTTGCAGAAACAGAACTCGAGAGATAAGAACCGCAGGTAGGGTGTTTGCCTTGCATGCGACTGACCCGAGATATTGTGGATAGGGCACTTGCCTTGCATGCAGTTCGCTTGCATTCAATTCTCAGCACTCCATAAAGTCCCCCAAGCTCTCCAGGAGTGATCCCTAAGCACAGAGCCAGAAATAACCCTGAGCACCCCCGGGCCAGTGCCTGTTGCAGAAGTTTCCTCAGCTATGAGCAAAGCCTTTTAAGGCTCAGGTCCAAATCACTGGAAACGTCCCTCTTCCATCAGTAAAGGTGATGGTTGCTGGATTTCTCCACGGTCACCCCCCAGACTCCTGCTGAAATCCATCAGTACCCTGAGAAGTGTCCAGTGCCTGGAGAAGGTGACATCTCTCTGTTTCTCTCCCCAGGAGCTCCTGACGCCACGGGGTCCCTGCACCCAGGAATCCTTGAGGGGCTCTGGCTTTGGGGAGAAACTGTCTGGGGTGAGGGGTCTCAGGCCCAGGAGAGAATATCTCCTTCCCAAAGCCAGATGGGTCATCCTCAAGCCCTCTCTGTGACTCTGCCCTTCCAGAAACACCTGGTAATTCTCTAATTGTTGAAAGTTCTCCCTTTCAGTCTACTTGGTTTTTTGTTGTTGTTGTTGTTGTTGCTGTTTTTTTTTTTAAAGACCACACCTGGCAGCGCTCAAGGATTATTCCTGGCTCTGTGATCAGGAGTGAGCCCTGGCAGTGCCTGGGAGAACATATGTGGTACCAGGAGTTGACTATAATGAAGGCAAGTGCACACACATACACAATACACACAGACACACACATACACAACACATAAACACATACACACACACACACACACACCAGTGCTCTCTGGCTTCGTTGCTGACATTTCAAGCCTTTACTCCTTCCACACCACCCTGAGTAGAAAGGAGGAAACGGTGGTCAGTTCTTCCCATGTCGTCCAGTCTAAGGTCCAGAGAGGTCAGAGTCAAGGTCCAGCTGGAGCCTGCCTAGTGATCCTGAGAGCCCCCGAGTGCACCCCAGCCTGGGCATTTCCCCTGCTCCTGGCTGAATCCTGAAAGCTCTGCCCGCCCCTCCACTCCCCACTGATTCCTCGCACTGTTTGCTGTGGGGGTAAGATCTCCCCAGCTACGGGGAGCCTCCCCAGGTCAGAGTGCAATACCCTTTCCCCTAGGAAGCTCTGCCATCTTGGGCTACCAGCTGGGCCTGCCTGCTGGGGCCCATGCCTCATGGGAGGCTGCCAGGTGCTCGAACAGAGGGAGCAGACATTGCACCCCCACATTCCAGATGCGGAAGGCTCAGCAGTTCAGAGCAAGGAAGCAGCTCGACTGGAGTCTGCTCCAGCCCTGCATGCTGCAAGCCTCACTTCTCTGAGGCAGTTTTCTATAGTCATTTAGACAAGTCTCTCTCTCTCTCTCTCTCTCTCTCTCTCTCTCTCTCTCTCTCTCTCTCTCTTTTGCCTTTTTGGGTCACACCCAGTGATGCTCAGGGGTTACTCCTGGCTCTGCACTCAGGAATCACTCCTGGCGTGGTGCTCGGAGGACCATACGGGATGCTGGGGATCTAACCTAGGTCATCTGCATGCAGGGCAAATGCACTACCTGCTGTACTATCGCTCCAACCCCATAGACCAATCTCTTTCTTTTTGGGGAATGGGGGGAGGATCCCAAGTCATGGTCAAGAGGCTTGGGGGCCCCTCCTGGCAATTCTGCACCCAGCAGTGCAGGCTGAAAGATTCAAAGCTGGGGCCCTGCATGATCGTGCCGGCGCTGGGGCCACCAGGGACACCCACTGGTATTCACAGAACCATGAGCTGCCAGGAGGCGAACCCCGGGCCTTTCCATGCCAGGCCTGGGCAATCTTCCATGCCCTAAAATCTGCCTCTTAACTTCACAGCTGGAACACTGAGACTGGGCGAGGGGAAAGGCTGTGTCCAAAGACACACAACAAAATTGGCTTTGAAAATGCAGCTCAGCCATACCTCCCCTAAACAAAGTGCCTTTTCATGACCGGGACGAATTGAGTGAAATCGTAATGGACAGATATGGGGCAGACAGTTCTTTAAAGACTATTCAGATAGAATTAGTTTTTACTTATATTTGAGTAAAAAAGAAAAAAAATTTAAAAAAAAGAAAAAAAGAAAGAAAATGCAGCTCAGGGGACCAGAGAGGTAGGAATGTGGGTAGGGCATGCAGCCTTGCTGCTGACAAGTTGGGTTTGATTCCCAGAACCCCATATGTTCCCCCAAGCTCTTCTAGGCGTGATTCCTGGGCTTAGAGCCAAGAATAAGCCCTGAGCACGGTCAGGTGTGGTCCCAAACCCAAAAAGAATAAGAAAAATAAAACACAGCCTATGAGGGTTGGGGAAAAAATCATTCCTGCATCTCAGAATCATTCTGCTCATTAAGAACATGTGTAAGGGTGAAATTGACGCCATGACAGTCAGTGAAAATCAGCAAAATCCTGGTTTCAACAAGTGGGCTCAATCAATCACTATACCCCCCAATCAAAATGCCCCAGGAATTGTCTTTTGTTAACCCTAAAAGAATGAGTAGCTTATGTAACCATGAACTGTTAGTGGAAACTATTGTTTAACTATTGCTTGACCACTGTTACCCTAAACACTTGCCAAAACACCTTTGTTAGTAACTGGGTAAGGTTTTTTCTGAAATAAGACATGTACTGCTTATGTAATCAAACACTATATAAACTGCTTGCTTCCTGAAGTTGGGGTCGCTATCAAGAGACCACTGTGTGGGTGAGATAGTTGACCCCAGTGTACTGGAATAAAACTCCTACTGTTTTTGCATTACCGAGTTAGTGTTTCTGTCCGTCTCACCGCTTGGGAACCCAGAATCCTTGGATTAACACATGAATTAGGTGGCCGAGGGTCAGCAGTAGAGGGATTTATCAACCCTCCATCTCTCAGAGAGAGCTTCAGTCCTCCAGCCTCTCACCCACAATGCTTGCTGTAAACAACTCCACCCCAAAAACTCTAGTCCCTTCATTAACCACTCCATGCCCACCCATCTCCCAGCCTCTATCTAAATGCCCATGTCTGTATCCTCTCCTCCTCCCCAAAGCACTCACATAGGGGAAGGCCCTGTCTTAGTTCATTGTGCAGATTTAATATATAATGTCTGCATTCTTGTGGCATAAAGCAGGTGCTTGATGAAGGAAAGACAGAGGAGAAAAAAGGAAGGAAGGAAGGAAGGAAGGAAGGAAGGAAGGAAGGAAGGAAGGAAGGAAGGGAGGGAGGGGGAGGGATCATGGATATATAGAGCTGCACGGAAAATGGATGGATGGTGGCTAGGCAAGTGGGTGAAGGATGAGGGAAGATGCAGAAAGGGCCATGGTCCCATCTACCCCAGGAAGAAACCTGAGTAGGTGTTAGAACATCTAAAGACAGGAGGACAGCTGCCCGTTGCTCAGGGAACCCCAGCAAAGATTCAAAACACACTCTAACGGAAACCTGACGCAGCTATGCACAACGGGAGACACAAGAAAGGGTGGATCTGCCTGGAGGATGCAGGGCAGGGGCTGGGTCCTCAGAGCCTCTGAGCTCAGGCTGGAGCCTGGAGCCTCAGGAGAGCTCTGCTCAGGGAGAGACGTGGTGAGGCGTGTTTTACGAGGGCCTCTGCGGCGTCCATGTGGAATATGACATGGGGTAGGCAGAGAGGGAGGGCCAGAAGCATCGGGGCAGAGCCTGTCAGTTTGGACCCTGGCTGCCCCCAGACTCCTCCTATCCCCCCCAAGTATCCCCCTTCTCAGCCCTCCCCTACCCCTAGAGTCAGGACAAAGAGCCTTGAGGGTGCCATAAAGTGTCTCTGGCAGGGGAGGTTCTCCTCATGCTCATTTGCTCTAATTATTCTGGTCCAATGGGAGAGGCACATCCCTGGCCCGTGGAGCTGCCGTGAGGAGGCAGTGCAGGGCGTGCGGCTCTGTGGTTCTGTTCTGAGGCTGGCGGGGCCAGGGAGCCACCAGGTGGGGCGGGTGGCTCGTGGCAGGCTTCTTTCTGGGAAAGAAGGAAGCAGCTAGCTGGGCAAGGCGGGACAGGGCATTCTCAGGCAGGGGTGCGGCTGGGAACTCCTGCGAGGTGAGTTGTGAGTCGGAGAAAAGTCAGCACCTGTCGTGGGAATGGCTGTGTCAGGAGTCCTGGGCCACAGGACACAGGAGAAGGGACAGAAGGAAAGGAGTTCCCGGAGTCCTCTACCCCACAGGGAGAGAGAAAATGAGTATTTCCACTCATCAGAGGCTTGGGAACAGATTTGGGGGGGCCAGGTGGGGGTGGGGAAGCAGTAGGTCTTCCCTAATCTGTAAGATGAGGCTGTCGGTGTGACCATGTGCAAGCTGGCCGGTCAGGGCCCCCTCCCAGCCTCATCCTGTCCAACAGGGACACCGTCATTCCTCCCTCCTCCCCTTGGGATTGCTAGGACATCCCTGACTCACCATCAGAGCCAGCCCTGTGCCCTGCCCAGAGTCCAGTTTGGTCCATAAACTCCCTGAAGTCCTAGGGAGAGTGGCCTAAGGGGCAGGAGTGGGGCCAGGGGAGAGGCATCAGCACTGGGAGGAGGAGCAGAGAGGGGAGGCCACACACACACACTAGCGCTGAGGGAGTGAGGCCCAGCCAGGATTCGGAACTGGAGTCCTGGGTGCTGGCTCAGCAGAACATCTGGGTGAGGGGAGAAGGTTCTGGAGTTGCTTCCCTGCCCCCTACATGGAGGCTGACACCCAGCACTACCTCTCCCAGGCCTAGATGGATGGAGAAGCAGCCTCCGGAAGAAGACCCGAAGGTAGGGAGCCCCAAGATCACCCAGTATTTCCAGGGGGTTCTTCCCCTCCTGGTCCTCAGTATCTGCACACACACATTCATACTTACTCATACACAAACTCATACATTCACACACTAGACACACGCCTATAGACACAGACAGATATACACACAGGCACATAGTCATACACACATAAAGTCACATTTATATACACACATGAACATATTCATATATGCACTCATACACACACTACACACGTATACACATTCACACATAACTATACACACAGACACATTAATACTTACACAGATTCACATACACAAATGTACACAGATTCACACATTCACACACACACATTCACACTCCACACACATACACCTACAGAAATATTCATATGTACTCATACACACACTTATACACATAGTCATACACACATACAAACAGATTCATATACATACACATTCACACACACATACCTATACATTAACATACTATACAACCCTTACAGACATGTTTATACATTCTCATAGACACACTCATAAACATATTCATACACACATACTCACACACCTACACAGTTGTATGCACACTCATGTACTCATACATGCTTTACACACATTCACACATATATAAAATATTTACACATACAAATTCACACACTCATATACAATCTCACACATTTATATACATATGCAGGCACATTCATACACACACACATACACACATAAAGGTATTTTCATATACATACTGAAATTCACACACACTCACACACACTCATAGAGGCGCATTGATATACACACTCTCACACATTCACTCACACTCAAACATATCCAGACATTCAGGGCTGAAGTGATAGTACAGCAGGCAAGACTCTTGCCTTGCACACAGCCTACCCAGATTCAATGCCTAGCACCCTATATGGTCCCCTGAGCCTGTCAGGAGTGATCCCTGAGCTCAGAGCCAGGAGTAATCCCTGAGCACCATGAAATGTAACCCTAAAACCAGACATTAATATATACATGCACTCATACATGCACACATACAGCACTGTAGCACTGTTCTCTCATTCATGGATTTGCTCAAGCAGGCACCAGTAATATCTCACAACAAATTATGAGACTTGTTGTTACTGTTTTTGGCATATTGAATACATCATGGGTAGCTTGCTAGGCTTTGCCGTGCAGGCTAGATATTCTCAGTAGCTTGCCGGGACTCACTCATTAATTCACACATTCCATTTCTCTAGTACTCACCTTCAAAAGGGGAGCACAAGCAGCTTCTGATAAAAGATCCATAAGTGAGAAAACAGAAAATATTCAGCAGGTAGGGAGAAAAAATATCAATAATGAAGGAATACAGTGTCTTGCTGAATACATTTTGGTTGCAGGCAGCAATTTGAATTTGTTTCAAAAGAGGAAACGTATTGGTGAGATCATTCGGTAGCCAACGGTACACACCAAGCAATGCCAGGTACAGCTCTAGAGATTCCCAAGCACCATCAGGGTGGCCCTCATGCTCCCTGACACTCAGGGCATGAGCAGCTCAGCATCAGGCCCTAGCTGTGATGTAACTCTTTGGCAGGGCTCCTGCTTTGCATGTGCGAGACCCGAAGTTCAAACCCCACCAGCACACCAGAAAAAAATATATATATATATTTTTTATAAAATATACATATTCATTTAAAAATATATGTATAGGGGCTGGCGCGATAGTACAGCAGGAAGGACATTTGCCTTGCATGCAGCCAACACGGGTTTGATCCCCAGCATCCCTAGAAGGTCCCTCAAGCACCAACAGGATTAATTCATGAGTATAGAGGCAGTAGTAACCACTGAGTACCATTAGGTGTGACCAAAAAATCCAAATAATAATAATAATATTTATATATGTATTTGGGCTGGAGTGATAGCACAGCGGGTAGGGCGTTTGCCTTGCAAGCTGCCAACATGGCTGACCCGAGTTCGATTCCTTCGCCCCTCTCGGAGAGCCTGGCAAGCTACTGAGAGTATCTCTCCCACATGACAAAGCCTGGCAAGTTACCCACGACGTATTCAATATGCCAAACACAGTAACAGTTGTCACAATAGTGATGTTACTGGGCCCGCTCGAGCAAATTGATGAACAATGGGAGGACAGTGACAGTGATATATGTATATATATGGTGTGTATGATAGATGATAGATAGATAGATAGATAGATAGATAGATAGATAGATAGATAGATATTCTTAGTAGGAACCATCTAGTCTGGTTGACCAGTATCCTGATCCTGGGAGTGATGAAAGTCCC